TGGTGGCGGGTGACAGGAGAGGTGCCCACCCAGGAGCAGGTAACAGGCTGAGGGGCCGGTGGAGAGGTTTGCCAGCCCCTTGCCCTGTGTCTCAGCCCCCCCCGTCCCCCCGCAGGTGACCTGGCTGTCCCCGGAGTGGGCCCGTCGCGCTGCGCTGCCATCCCATGTGGTGACCATGCTGGACAACTTCCCCACCAACCTGCACCCCATGTCCCAGCTCAGCGCCGCCATCACCGCCCTCAATAGCGAGAGCAAGTTTGCCCGCGCCTACGCCGAGGGCATCCACCGCGCCAAGTACTGGGAGGTACGGGGGGGCCGGGCGCCCCGGTGCAGCGTGGAGGGGCTCAGCCACCCCACCTCTGAGCTTGGGCCGGGGCGTGGGTGTGGGTGTGGGGATGCAGGGGCTCGTGCCCCCTGGGACGGGCAGCCACCCCCCCCTTACCCCGCCTGCCCTAGTTTGTCTATGAGGACGCCATGGACCTGATCGCCAAGCTGCCTTGCGTCGCCGCGAAGATCTATCGCAACCTGTACCGCGAGGGCAGCAGCATCGGGGCCATCGACCCCAACCTTGACTGGTCCCACAACTTCACCAACATGCTGGGCTACACCGACCCCCAGTTCATCGAGCTGATGCGGCTCTACCTCACCATCCACAGGTGCGGGGCCGGGAGGAGCTGCTGTGCAGGTGGGAACCTGGCTCCACTCCCAGCCCCAGGGCCATGAACGTGCCTGGGCTGCTCCGGGGGTGTCACTGGGCGCAGGGTGTGGGGCCACAGGCAGGGCTAGGGACATCATGGTCCTCCAGAATGCAGTAGGGGTGTCACCTCAGGTGTGGGAGGCCCTCAATGGGGACTGGGGAGACCTGACACCCCCTCCTTTATCCCTGCAGTGACCATGAGGGAGGAAATGTGAGTGCCCACACCAGCCACCTGGTGGGCAGTGCCCTCTCTGACCCCTACCTCTCCTTCGCCGCTGCCATGAACGGGCTGGCTGGGCCCCTGCATGGCCTTGCCAACCAGGTGGGCACCGTCCTTTTGTCTGTCCCTCTGTCCTTCTGTCTGCTCCTCTACTTGCTGCTGTTCTCATCTCTCCTGCGCTGCCCACAGGAAGTGCTGCTTTGGCTGACCGACCTTCAGAAGGAGCTGGGCCAGGATGTGTCAGATGAGAAGCTGCGGGATTTCATCTGGAACACACTCAACTCAGGCAGGGTGAGTCTAGCTCGGCTGGGGCTGGGGCCGGTGCTGGGGCTGAGCTCTGACCCCCCCTGTTCTCGCAGGTGGTCCCGGGATATGGGCACGCGGTGCTGCGCAAGACAGACCCTCGCTACACCTGCCAGCGGGAATTCGCCCTCAAGCACCTGCCCAAGGACCCCCTGTTCAAGCTGGTGGCCCAGCTCTACAAGATTGTCCCCAATGTGCTGCTGGAGCAGGGTAAGGCCAAGAACCCCTGGCCCAACGTGGATGCCCACAGTGGGGTGCTGCTGCAGGTAAGCCTGGGGGTCCCAGCTCTCCCCCAGCCCTCACCTCTGGGAGTGCTGCCTGGTCCTGACCCCCCCTCTCCCCCTGCAGTATTACGGGATGAAGGAGATGAACTACTACACGGTGCTCTTTGGGGTCTCCCGGGCCCTGGGCGTCCTCTCGCAGCTCATCTGGAGCCGGGCTCTGGGCTTCCCCCTGGAGAGGCCCAAGTCCATGAGCACGAAGGGGCTGATGCAGCTGGTGGGATACAAATCTGGGTGAAGAAGGGACGGGGACAGGGCATCAGCCCCACTGCTCCCCAGGGAATGCTGCTGGGACAGGCCCTGGACCCACTCGGCACTGACCCC